TCTCGTTGTGTTGCTCTTTTTTTTCTGAACTGATTCCTTGGTTCCTTTCTATTTTGTCTTTTCCTGCCATCATCTTCCTATTACCTAATATTTTACCTCCTGAGCTTGCTAGCTTGCTTCTTCAAGCCTTAACCTCTTTTTGACCGGTACTCTTTCTAGGATTAGTCATTTTGTTGCTATTCATTTCTTCCAGATCTTTTGCTTCAGTCAAGTTCCTCTCCTTTTCTGTTTTTTCTTCCTTTTCTTTTTTTCTGGTTTTTTTCATTCTTACTAATTTTCTCGATTGAAAATTTTCTTCTTGTCCAAGCTTGTGCTGACTTGCTACCTTTCAGAGGTGGTGAATCGGCTTTAGTTAGGACGAAAAGAAAATTGGCAATCAAGAAAGTGTTTTTTCCCAGACTTCTTCGTTTCCTTCCGAATATTTCTCTGTTTCCTGCCTCGTTTCTACTTTCTTTTCCTGTCTGCATCATTTTTCCATGGGTTTCAACTTCTAATTTTTGCCAACTATTATTCCCATAGATAATTGATTTTGGGGGTGACATCCATTTTGCCCACTTGGACAGCAGTACCAACACATAAATGGAGACAGGTGGAAGGACGGATGGGATTCCGGGCAAGGAGACATGCAGAGAAGAGCAGGAGGACGGACGGTCACAGCCAAACAGGTCAGAAGCAGGATGTGGCAGTCGCGGATAGACTGGAGGACAGGCAGACATTGACACTTACGGATATGGAGGGAGGCGGTCGAAGGTGGAGAGATACGGAGTGGGGGGAGAGTCGGATGGCAAAGCCACAGGAGGGTACCCCCAGACAGATATGGAAAGGAGGGAGGGGATGGGCGGATGGATGCAGAGGGAGGGGGGAGGCACGATTCACTGGAAGTAGGAGGGGGAGGGCTACTAGAAAGGGCACGCGGGCCACGCCGTTAGCGCGGAATCGCAGAGCAGCATGCCCCCGTGCTTCTCTGCTCCACTCTCCCTCCCTCTCTCTCGCACACTCGTGCCTACCCCCCTCCTCCCGTATCTGCCCGTCCACACCCTCCTCTTTTCTCCCCGCTTCTGCCTGCACCTCCTCTTGTGTCTCGCTCGTCCGTTTCAGCCCCCTCTTGATCTGTCCGTGACCTCTCACCTGTGTACTATCCCTGCGTATATCCGTGCCTAACTGTCCTCCAACCTGCCCGCTTCTGTACTTGCCTGTCCATCTGATCCATTGGTGCCCACCTCTCTACTCATCTCTGTCCGTTGCCTCCCGCTCTGTCTCCCCATGTGTCCTTTCACACGACTGCCTCCATCATTGTCGGCATCACTGACTATCGAATCAAGTCGCTGCTCCAGGATTGTAGATAGCCGATCTCACCTTTGTGAACCCTGCCTATTGTGATCAATACGAATTTCCGGCTCCCTCAGACCCCAGCTGCTTGATTAGAGAAAAGGAGCAGGAAGAAATGTTAGTTCATCTAAGGAAGATGTACAGACAGTAATTAAAAAGGAAAAAAGAGGAAAGAGCTGAAACTGGAAGCAAAAAAGGAAAAAAAAGTCTGATTAAGAGGAGAAACAGAAAAACAGAACAAGATGGAAGGAAACGAGAGGCAAATAGAAAAAAAAGAGCAGAAATCTTACGAGTGTAACGGAGGAAGTGAAAAAATTGGCAAATCATGAAGGAAATTATGAAGAGAAGTGAAAATGCTGTTAGGATAAGGCCACTCCACTGTGCTCTGCGTCTTTAAACAGCGTTAGCGCAGACAAGTACAGGACAACAGCCTCACAGGCCTGTAGTAGTGCTTTGGAAATGTTTCAAGCCGAGGAAATGTAATTTCCTCGCCTGAGGTACCTATGGAAGGGACTGTTGGTAAGAAGCCAAACTTCTGCAAACTTTTGAATGAAACTGAATCAAATTCAATTCAGAATTTTGGCATTACGTTAAGTTGGCGTCGGTAAAGGGGACCTTGACCTTCTTGGAACCACTGCGTTTGTGAATATGCTAGAAGAACCGATTTCAATCCAACATTCTGTACAAGGGGTTAGCACATCACCCAACCAGGTGGCCGCTCCTTCCTAAGATACAGGAGCGGAAGGAGTATTCCTTGGCCTAAAAATGTTCCTAGGCATCACAATAGGCCTGACAAGCCAGGGCCTCATCTTCGTCTGCGCTTTAGCGCCTAGTCTTAGAGAAGCAGGGCACAGCGTGGTGCCCCAATCAGCTGAAACAGACGACAAGACTGACAGCAAGAAACTTCCACTAAAGGAATAGTACTTTATATTTCCATAATACTGGTTAGAGAGTGAGATATTTCTGACAGGAGGTGAGTAGAGAGTTCACACCACTCAACGTATACTCTCCTTCTGCCGGAAATCATCCTGTGTATAGACCAGCATTATCGGAATATCAAGTGCTAAGCTCTGGACAATCGATATCCTCCCTTAATGAACATCCAAATCAGACTCCCCACCCAGATCTAAAACAAAAGAACGGCATCATGAAATTCGGATTGAAGGAATGGAATATTATATTGGACAATGTTGGGTAGGAGAAAGATGTTCCCGACAGAGAAGAGTAGAGGCTTCACATGACTCAGAATCTACTTTCCTCCTGTCAGGAAACATTTATGTCTCTACCAAACATTATCGGAATACTCCTGGTCTCTTTTACAATCGATATGCGCCTTAACGAAAATTCAAGATAACCTCCCTAATCCGATTTCAGACCCATAAAAAAAGACCCTCCCGCAGTTCAACGCCCAGTTTCCTCTTAAGCAAATCTTTCGAATTGAGTTATCAATAAGGTAAGAACACAAAGAGAAGTGAGAGCAACAAGGCAAAGAAAAAGGATCCTACTCAGCAATCTTGTATTGATCACAACGACTACGGAGCCCACATGACGGTGAAACTAACTACTACCTCCCGACCTGCAGCCAACTTGATTCCATCAGGCAGCACTGCCAACGATTCCGATGGAGACAGAGGAAAGGACAGTAGGGGTTGCTAGACAGAAGACAAGCCGACAGACAGGTAGAGAGACGGACACCAACAGACAGACGGGCACAGACATGTACAGAACACGGACAGACAGTCAGACAGCTCGACACGGACATACACAGACGGATAGACACAGATGGAGGGACAAACGGGCAGATACGGGAGGGCGGACACGGACGAGCGGGACACAGAAGGACACACACAGACAGGAGCGGACAAACAAGGAGGGACATGGACGGACAAACACAAGTGGAAGCGGACAGGCACAACAAAGGGAACGACACGGACAGACGAGGACTGACACCCACCAGGACATTGCATGCAAAGGACACAGACAACACAAACACAGACTGACGGGACTCGGCGACGGCTGTCGATCCTACCTGCTGCCCTCTTCTCACTGCTCGACTTGGACCACGACCGCCCATATGGGTCTGAAATGAATCAGATATAGTTGATATCCACAAAAAAGAATGAAACCCATCATACCTGTGGTCCTTCACGCGAATACGTGGTGGATAGCACAGACCCAGCCGGATCGGAGAGGTCGTGTCATCCACTCGCGAACTGAAGGCACACCTGTAATTAATATACCTGAGAAAAATCTGGTGAGATACGATCCACTTGACTACCTCCATCTCTCTTAGAGATTTGGTGAGCAAGCCGAATTTACCTGTGCATGCAGGGTGTGCCGCGACCCCCAAGTGGAAAATGGCCGAAAGCATCTCGATCTCGGCGTGTCTGCAAAAGAATCATGAAATTATAGAAGACATCTATGAAGAACCATGTAGTGGCGAATCGATAAATTCTGAGAAAAGAAAAGATTGTGTCCACAAAAAGAGGTACGATACAAAAAGAGAAAGAATAAGTGCAGTCCAATGCGGCGCCTTTCATCGGTTGATAATCAATCGAAAACGCCTGGTAAGGGCCACCCACATGGCAGTAACCGATTGGTCAGTGGCTGCCGAGTACGGGGTTTTCCCGCCAGTTATCGGATTCCGATGGTGGCCAGGTCGATGGCATAAGGCACCCACCTAGGCAGCCGTAAGTTTTAGTCAACGATCGACATTACAAAGTGGGATTGAATGAGTTAATCAGGAAGATGGGTACAGTTATTATCGAAAAGCTTGACTCAGAGCATGACTATGGCCAAGTAGTGGCCAAGCATGGCCGACTGGAAGACTACTGATAAGTATTAAATGGTGATTGGCGAAAATTCGTTGGTACGTCGCGCCCATCACGAGTTCCGCCTTCTCATTCTTATTTCCTTTTGTACAACTGCCACTATCTTCTTTCCTTTCAATCAATTTTTCTGTATTGGTCGAAACTACGTGCCTAAAGGTACACACTTCACTTCACAGTAATATCGCTTTCCATTGGAGTCACTCCATGGAATAAGGTCCCTCTCTCACTTCTAGAGTAGTCCCGCAATTCATTGCTGATTATGTCGCCTCATGTCATGAAGGATGGCCAGCCTGGGAGAAAATATCGAGTCGCGAGCCCCGTCATTAACTTGCTCGAAGAAAAACGAAGTCTCACGATATCGTATCAGGACGGACACAGCCCATATAGATGTAGCCCATACAGTAATCCACACGTGGAACCTGGCTCGAAGGTCCGCTTATGATGACGAATTAACACAATCATGGACCTTCTGCGACGATGCATTTTATTTTACGACAAAGCCAA